CTCTCTCTCTCTCTCTCTCTCGTATATATATATATCGTTGCCATTCTCACAACTTTCGCAGGAACATCGCGTGCATTTATCAAAACAGCCCAGCAATATTACGTCACACTTACCTACAGAAGTACGCAAACGCGGTAGTTCTCGCACTCACAAACCACGCGTAACACACACTAGCTGGCTGACTTAGCTTATTGCCGCTCGCCGATATCTTGCGCACTGGATGAAGGCAGGTAATGGAATGGCCACAACTTGACTGTAATTATTCAGACATAGCAGCCCAGCAATGCACCCTACAGGAGCCCTTTCGAACTAAAACGTCAATACGCGGCGTGCGAGAGAATGCCGAGTGCGGAGTCCGCGAACCAGAGCATCTGCCATTAATCGAATCCATGGATGCCGATTTCATACGCGAATAGTGGTCATGAGTGATCCAATTAGGTTTCCCTCAATTCATAATTGTGGACCTTACCAGAATTAGAAACGTGTTGTAGAATTACGACAATTCGTGTATATAAGACAGGTTTCAGTAAATGTTGTACTGTAGTTCATGTCCGGAACATCTAAACCAACCACATGCAATGAGTGGACAAACTTCCTGTGTAGCAAGCACCTCATTAGTAAACCAAGGACCAATTAAAGCAAAATGTGAAATCGACCTTTCAGACGGTAAAGGCATAGCAACATGGCAACAATAAAGTTTCAGCAGTAAACTGGAGTAGTAGCATACGAACATAATTACAATTATTTGAACTTTTGATGCAAAAGCTAGTTGCTGAAATACACTGTGAAACCTACTTTTGAAGGACACCACTTGCATGAATTAAGCCCATTGTCGTTTTCATGTTTGCTATCACAAGTGTTTGATGCATACATTTTAAAACAGCTTCATCAGAGCAAAGAATAAGGAAACCACCTCCTCCATATCCAACCCACCTCATCTGCCTTCTCAAATTTCTAGTTGAGTCTGAAACAGGCTTACTAATTAACTTTACACTTTGTTGCTGAATCAAATTGCCAAACATAATGCAGGATTACAAATCATGGACGCAGTCGTTATGCAGTATGTCATATAGCTATGAGATTATGTAATCAATGTTTGATCATTGATTCAGTTCATGACACCATACTGATCCTTCCACCATATTGGTTCATACGACTCCATAGCCAACAGCAGATTCTCAAAAATAATTATCCAGTTCGATGTCATAACTTATTGGATTGGGTAAAACACTAAAGTTACACGTTATACAATTTATCTCTACTCGGTTATGTGTTGGGTTGCAAACTATAATTTCATTTTGGTGGCCACAAAATTACAAAAAGGGATAGTCCGTTTATGAGTATTGGGAAAATACATGCTTTTACCGTCAATGATAGACATGAGTTAAACTTTTGATTAATTGCAATTATCATTGTTTAATTGATCTCCAGTATTTTGTTTACGGCATAACTAATGCCTGTTAGCTGCACTTCATTTGTTGACTACTGCTAGCTCAGGCGAATCACTGATACTGCTTCACCTCATTAACTTAAACATTCACTCCCCTGTCAATCACATTTGACTGGCAAACTATCAAAATAAGCATATCATATAGTACTGGAGAAAAAAACAAATATAAATTGTGCACCAATTTACTTGGGTGCTATGCAGTCTTGTACCCCCTGCCCACGCTGACTATTTCATAAACAGCAGAAGAGGAGGATGGATAATATCAGGAGCGTATAATGACAAATATTTGTCAATATGAGAAGTATTTGTCATTATACGCTCCTGATAATATTAAGGACTGCATGTGATAGCAATAGGCTAATAACAAGATTGAGGTATATTGGCTTCAGGGTTCGTAATTTGGAGGCAAGTAGAACGATGTATTTGCGACAGCGATAGTGCGCACAACCGAAAATGCACTACAGCAATGTGAAAGGATTATAAATTTTTAAAATGATTTGAGAAAGAATTTAGATTTTTTCTTGGCTAAAAGGTCAGAAAATAAAGGTAGCCGTAGGTATACAACTTCGCATTGTGACAGTGACAATCATGTCTTATCCTCCTATATTTAGTGCGAGATGAAGCTGACCAATGCAAAAACTTTAGCAATGTGCAGGTAACTGTCTTCACCCTCTTTGCGGTATTGAAGATGCATGTCTGAGAATCTGATAAACTAAAAAAGCATAATATCAAGAATTAATAATGAAATCAAGATGTCGATTTTATAACCAAAATAAGGATAAAATGTACAAAAACTATTAATACATTATTTGTACATGATTTGAGCATATCATTAGTAAACTCTGCAAAAAAATTATTTGTAAAGTTATAGATAAGACTCATGAGAATTTTGTAGAGGCTCCCAATTTCAAGCTTCAATTCATGTTGTCATATAATATCAGGAGTCTATCAATATTGATATACTCCTGATAATATATATATAAGGTGATAGATCTATGTAAAAATCCATTCACCTATCTATTTACCTACACACACACACATATTTGTAAAAAAAAAAAAAATAGAATTCAATATAATGTGTGCAGTTGCGTGCATGCATGACTATATTGCAAAAGAGAGCTATCTTCTCACGTCAGGTGCACACAGGAAAATAGGGCCACCCTTGAAAAATCATTTGTTTCCCCTTTACCTATACTGGCCTCTCAGGGTACCGAGTAGGTAGGTAGGTGAAAAATCTTTTTCATTTTGTTTTGACAAGATGTGTGTATGTATATTGTATATTCTGTTTTGTGTATACGTTTTTGCGGAACGAATTTGATTTTTTTTTTGGCGAAAACGAAATAATTTTTGTTTTGTTTTAATCGCCCAATAAAATGTGTCGAGTAGCGGCGTTTTGGCGAGTCGGTCGGTAAAGGGGAAACAAGCAATATTTTATCTTAGGCCTATATCCTAGATGGAATATTGCACATTTTGATGGACCACACCTTACCAGAGCTCATAGGCCTATATACATTGTTGGCTCCTTGTTTTATTCGTATACATTGCTTTTTGTGACAATGCTTAGTAAATAATAATTTTGCAGGACACATAGCTAAAGCCCGGCGCATGTACGTGAGTTATTTTACTCAAGTAAAATGACGCATGAGTCATTTTACTCAAGTGTGCGGCGGATTTTCGTTGAGTAATTTGACGCATGCGTCATTTTACTCACGTGTGCGGCGGATTTTCGTTGAGTAATTTGACGCATGCGTCATTTTACTCACGTGTGCGGCGGATTTTCGTTGAGTAATTTGACGCATGCGTCATTTTACTCACGTGTGCGGCGGATTTTCGTTGAGTAATTTGACTCATGCATCATTTTACTTGAGTAAAATAACTCACGTGTGCGCCGGGCTTAAGTGTAAAAGTAATTTAGTCTAGATCCAGGAAACTTGTTGAATTTCCATTCAGCAACCAAGTAACTTGGTATCAACAAGAATGCTGTAACAATAAACTATAATAATAATTTACAATTAATAGTCTAAACAAAATGTTTAAGAGAAGAACTTAAAAGTAATATAGCTATACAGGGGTAGAAATTAACTTTTGAACACGGGAGTCCAATGGACTCCCTACCCTCAAAAAGAGGGAGTCCGCAGCAAAATGAGGGAGTCCGCAGTCTGATGTTCAAAATTTAAAAGCTATTAACAATAACGCATGTGCTTATTTTTAAGATTCATGCGGTTGCACGTCTGCCAAATTTTCTTTGGACATTAGCTTAAAAAATACGGTAATTCTGCAAGGCCGTGCTCCGGAACGAACTAGTTAGTATGGCAGAATTTTCAGGGAGTGACACGGACTCCTGCATATGTCAAATCAGGGAGTCCGACAGTAAATCAGGGAGTATTTGACTCTGGACTCCTGTTAATTTAGCACCCTGCTATATAATGTAACGAATTCTGCAAGCATACTGGTTAGGTCTTTAACAGATGTGAGCCTATCTCCTCATTTCTTCCCACATTGATTTTCCCCCATTCATCCCATTTCTTAAGCACCTAGACGCAGAAATAAGTCATACTCGACGTAGTAAGTATAAGTAGTGTTGTGCTACCTCCGGAGATGCACCTGCCACCAACCTTTACTAATGTGTCAGTGAAGTTGGCCATCTTTCTCTCTGCTAAATCTATGATAAAACATGTATAATCGATAGACTTTTTATCAAGAGCGTATTAAGAAGGTATCAAGAGCGTATCAAAGCACTTGTTTTTATGCAGCTAACAAACACATTTTTGAACCCCAAGTGTATGCTTATAACATAGAGCTTTGATGTGCTAGTAATAGTTTATTAACAGTAGCAGTTTAATAGTAATTAGTAATTAGTATTAGTAGTAGTGTATTGAAATAACATAAACAGCAAGTAAAAACTCACTTAATATGCAAACCCTTGACAAGGGAACAACTAATTTAAAAGTCAGTAGTCTAAGGTCTATGTTCCCCTGACCTCTGTTTGACCTGGCTCGTTTAGCTATTTCTGACTAATATAATATAATATATAATATATATAGGGTTAGGGTTAGGGACTTAGGGTTAGTGTTAGGGTTAGGGTCAGGGTTAGTCAGAAATAGCTAAATGAGCCAGGTCAAACAGAGGTCAGGGGGACATAGACCCTACGAGCACAACTATCTCATAACCAGGGTTAGATACTAACCATTTTAGTTCATTAGTCCACAGGACTAGTAAAAGAAAAAATGTACTAGTCCTTCCAAGATTCTACTAGTCCTGCCGAAAGACTCCTACTAGGCGCAGAGCGACGAGCATTGTGATTTGCCAGGAGGTAGGTGGGGTAGGAGTGTGGAGCCCCCCGTTCTGCTAGGGGGTGCAGGGGGTCTCCCCAATGGTACAAGGGGTGTCCCCCAGAAACGTTTTGCAAACGACATTCAATTGTATAAAATATACGTAACTTTGATATGGATCATAAGATTAAAATTTTAATTAAATTAAATTTTAATTCGAAAATAAAATTTCCGCCTCCTTTGATAAGGAATCTGTGGATCCGTCACTTATCACAGCAAGGAATTTGGCCTCAATTATAGCTCCATACTGTTCCCAGCGCCTTGTATCGGCTATCGCCGTAATGAACCTCTGGCAGGCCTTGTCGGTGAGGTAAGTGCTGCCGACATCTAACCCTTGTCAAGCTGGCACAGCTTGACGTAATCGGTGTAGGGCCTGCGTTTTTTCCAATAGCATGTGCATTTCTAATTAAGATATTCAGTTTTGCTATTGTGGCCTTGTTCATTAAAGTTAGTGTTTTTGCCCCCACTGTTTCGTGAACAGGCATGGTCCTTGCATTTGATTTATTTTTGCTATGATCTTTATGTGCCCTTCGGAAGCATCATGCGCTTTAACAGTTTCCAAACGATAGTTTGTAGTGCCGGTGAAAAAACTACCACACATACAGCCTGCACCACAAGTCATACCCTTGCCCTTGGCCGGGTCATACTCTAGCCACGGGTATGACGATTTCCACGCTGGCTGGAACGTACGCATCCTTTTAGTCTTATCATAGACACGCTGGCCATCTAATTTCTCCTCCTGCGACTTACGTTTGGGAGGTGGAGGACGAGCTCTGTCGAAATACTTTCACATAACAACATTGATGTTAGTATTGGATAAGGATGTACCTACTACTACAGGGTTTCTTATACATAAGAGGCACAGTGGCGCACTGACGTTATCAAATTTAACATCGCCGTTGTGAAAATGTTCCTGTATTCACTGATAAGTATATCCTGTATCTACATAGCTATAAGTATATCAATACATCCTGTATTTGAATCCATCATGCACATTTTTTCCCAAACTGGCCATTACCTCCTTTGTCTAATTTTCCCGCAGAAGAAACCCTGTACTATATGCTTCACTACTTGTATCACTACTATAGATAACTATTGGTATCAACAGCTTCAAGTAAAACACGCATGCAATGTGGTTGCGATGTAAATACCTCGCTATGAGAGCGTATAAACTGATTAGTTGTGTCATTTATACAATCAGACCGTTTGTTCTATGTCGAAAGCTATACTGTCAAGCGATCGATCGGTAGACTGGTTTGTGGCCCCATTGTTTTTAACAATGTTTGTACTGTCATAGGGTCTAGCGTGCTTAGAGCGTGCAGAGCGTGCTAGCGTCTACTTGTACTAGCGCGTCTATTAAACAAGGAAAACTTGTTGATGGCAATGAGTATATATATATATATATATAGCTCTTTGGATCTTGGTTGAGAGAAGCTGCCGCAGGGGACTATAGTGAAATCGATGGGAGGATGGGTAATTGGGACGGTGAGGGACGGGGAAAATAACTAGTCCGCAGGACTAACAGCTATGGGGCATTTACTAGTCCTTCTTATTTTTTACTAGTCTCGGACCAACGGACTAGCGTTAGTGTCGAACCCTGATAACCTCAAAAAGATACGTCTTCAAATTCTAAGAAAATATATCGAAGACAAAGAGAGACAATGCTGAGCAAATAGACAGATCAACACTGCGGATCGCAATAGAAAAAGCTTCAATTTTGCAATTAACCAAAGCGGAAGGAAGAGAATTCCGTAATAGAATGACAGAAACGACGAAGCTAATGAATCATTTGAAGATGGAACATGTCGAAAATAATGATCATGCTCAGATGAATGTGAGTATAGTGTAGGCCTACCGACTGTGTTACTAACAACAATCAGTTATCGGTAATGTTATTGTTAAGCTATGGCACTAGTAGTAGTATGGCGATAGCTTTACTACTAACTAGTAACTAGAGTAGTGACAGTACTCAGTAGTGTAGACACTTTGCTCCTGCTACAGATCTTCTTATTTTTTCCTGCGTCGGGAATAAAGGTGGCTACATGGTACATGGGAAGAGCTGACAGTAACATAGCTCTAGAACTATAGCCCTTCACTCCTGTGGCGGAGTGAAGGGTTGTAGAGCTATCAGTAACAGTATTCAGTAACACTGCGAGAGACAGTGTCAGTGAGTGTGAAGTTGAACGACCACTAAACGTACACATTTTTTTAAATGACAACACACATGAGTATGCACTGTGTAAGTAAGAAAGGCGATACATCACTTAACAGGCAAGTACGCACCAATGCGGATAACGTGCTGATTTACCTATACAGCTGCGCAGTTGACAGTAGCAGTGGCAGATTAACATATCACAAACGTATAAACAAACACTCACGCTTGTTGATCGCCATCGACTGTACTTACTACTGTATCTTGTAAACGATGATTACGCTGGCCAATCAGCTAACAGTAACAAATGATTTACATAAACAAGTGTACTGCTCTTATGTAGCGGTCGTTTTCTGCTGTTTAGAATGAATATTCCCAAGGTAAAGTTCCATCCACCCGAATTGATGTCAATATGGAAAAGTGCTGATGATAATTCAGCAAATGATACGGTTAATAGCGGAAATGTCCGACTTTACAGGTATAGAAATCTCGTCATTTGGGTTAAAATATCGCAATTGGTTGGACGTTCATCATCACAATTCACATTAATAAATGATTATATAGCCCACATCACATGTCATGATCATGCACAGCACTTGGAACGTTAATTTCAATAAAAACATTATGGTAAATAAACACGAAATGTAATTGCTACCAGTGTCTTAATGTTTCTCTACTCTCTTTTGCCTATCATTGCCGAGAACTTCCTGTAAATGCCGTTCAAATTTTCCTCTGCAACACGCAAGCACATCGCGCGTACGCCGCTGTGCACAAACAACAAGAATAATTAAGAGTTCTTGCTCAAAAGTTACCAGTCCCGGACCAATCCGAGACTGCTGCTATTTTTAATACAACTCTTAAAAAAATACAGTGTTTTTTATTAGCCACTTATTTATTTGGATTGTGTTTGCATGAGACTTGGAAAGAGAGAAACGCACAAAATGGAAAGGAAAGAAAAGAGATAGACAAAAATACGGGGATGGGGAGGAAGGGTGGGCGAACCTGGGTAGGTGGAATAAATGGAGAGAGAGGGAATGAGAAGTTATGGCGGTAATTAGGTTAGGGGGAGAGAAAGTGAGAAGGCGAGAGAAAAGCGATAGAGTGAGGATTGGAAGAGAGAGCGAGAGAAAGAGAGAGAGAGAGAGAGAGAGAGAGGAGGAGGAGGAGGAGGAGGAGGGGGAGGAGGAGGAAGACAGTGTGGACGGGTTAAAAGTGCAAGAGGGAAAGACGGGAAACACGAGCAAGGTTGAAGGGTAGAGGAGGAGAGTGAAAGGCAGAGGCAGGTCAGGAGGGAGACAAGTGAAAGCTCGGGAGAGGTGGAAATGATGGCAGTAAAAGCAATACTAGCAATTTCAGTTTTAATATTTAATTTAAACCTAGATTCTGTTTGAACTCCATGCTCAGTTTTTAGTAGCATCTATAGCATCGGTTGTAAAAAAGAGAATCAATTATAAAAAAGTGCACTGGTTTTGCTCTGATGTTGTGTGTGTTCTGAATACCACTATTATATAAAAATCAGGAATTTCTTTGTTACTAAAATTGAATTTATCAGTTTTCATATACGCTAATAATTCACATTCTCCATGGAATTACTTGTAAGTTATTTTATCAAACTTAAGTGGTAAAATAAACCTGTTTGATGTCCTCAGTTATGGGCTCTGATGTTTCCAAGTCAGGGTGTTATTTTCGAATTGAGTGCACTTGCCAATTTCGTCTGCGCAATATTCTAAGTCGGCTTATTTCTTGCAGTGTGCTTGCTGAAAAGCTTGGACTTGATGCATGTAGCGTTGATATGCAACAGATGTGCTTGTTGGACATTTATGGAAACATTGTCCTATGGGCCCAAAAGAGAGAGCTCAGTGTCCAAGCTTCAACCACATGCCTGAACCTAGTGAATAATGCACTAGTGTGCATCGCAGGTTACTCTTTCTGCTAAATTGCGCTAATTAATTATCATAGAAAATTCGTTGATCTATATTTTGTCTTACCATCGTTCCCTTCATTCTGAAATTAGTTTTCCAGATTTGCCTCAATATGTTTTTTTAGTACATGTTTGGATTAATGCTTATTACATGTTACAAGTTTTTTTTTCTTTAGCAGCGACAGATATCCTAATTAGTTTCCTAATTATCAATAGGCCTACTATCACAGATAATATGCAGCCGTTACACTAACATTAGCCTAACGTTGTACAGCCAACAGTAGGCCAACTTTGGCTCTACGACTATTTTTCACACGTTTTAAACGTGTCACACGGTGCGACAAACAAGTCTCGTAAAATATAAAGCTATTTGCTAGTTTTTTTTTAGTGACAAAAACAAAACAAAAAGTTTCAGTTAGAAAATTATGCAAATATCTCATCGCAGATATAAGATCGCAAAGTTTTTACATCATCAGTAAATTGTGATGTAATTACACAGATCATGTAAATGAAAAATATTTAAACATGAAGAGCAGTTTATTCTCCTTCCGTTAATATAAAATATATTATTATACAGGACAGATGATTAGAAAAGCGTTGGTACATAACAACCACATATATTGAACCATAACACCTTGTTTTTTGCCACGTGCAATAAAAAGATTTCGGTTCCAATGAAATTGGTTTCTGTCAGAGTACTATCATTTTGTTCTACTACGCAAATGGTGTGCTACATTTTCGTTCTCTATGCCTCTTTTGTAGAATTTCATCTGAAACCACTACAATTATTTATATATACTGGTTTTATTTATATTAGGTGAAGACGCAAATATGGAGAGCTCATTGGATACATTTGTTCATCAAGTGGGCGAATGTTTTCAGGCAGAGGGAATGACAGATCTCAGCAAAGTGGAGCAATTGTCTATTCGCAACTATTTTATAAGCAAGTAAGTGAAGAAAACTGGAATTGATAATACCGATGTATTTTGTGTGTTTTGATGAGGTTTTATAGAATTGATATTAAGTGCACATCTATATACTTTACACTCACTATAGCTCTACATGTACGTGCGTACGCGCGCGCGTGTGTTTGCCTGCGTTCGTGCGTGCGTGCGCGTGTGCGGGTGCATGTGTGGGTGTGTATTTTTATTACTTTTTTTAAACGATTTGGTGTGAATCATTTGGGATTTTATTGTAAATTAAATATTACCCTCCCCTCTCGATTCCAATAGCTATTATCTGTACCACTAACGATTTATTTTGTAGTATGTGGCAACATTTCCACCTGTACAAGTACTTATTGATTGGGCAAAGAGCAGAGGAAGTTATACAACTCTCGGTGAGTGTGAATTGATTATATTTCATATAAACTTTCGGATATATAACGTTATAATGTATTAATTGAACACAGTGCAAGTAAACATTAATTGAATGATACGATCTTTGCAGTTGTGTTTGGATGTTCCCGTGGACGAAGCGACTGTTCCACCACTGCTTAATGAAGCCCTTCACGAACAAATATACAATGACTTTGTTGCTCCGCATGTGGCGCCATCTGTTGACTGAGTTAGTACACAAAGCTAGTATATTTCTGTAAGCAGGACGGCAACCTGGTATTTCGTGAGTAAGTAAGTAAGTAAGCCTAGGCCTAGAACCTAGCAAGTAGATGTTCTCTATTGCCTGTGTGTCGGCTCGTAGAAAACATGTAGCCGGAAATAATGTTCCTTGCCTTGCCGTACCTTGCCCTATAACTATTGATGTATATAAATGTGGAAATGAAAAGTGTGTAGGTTGATCAGTGTAAACTTGCCGTTGCCATAAGTTGTCTAGTGAAATTTTCCCTATTGTTTAGTTTAAAACATTGCACGTGTGATACATCTTTAAAATGAACTGAAGTGTAGGTATAATTCATAGTTCAAATATATTATAGGCACGTCTATCAAGGCAATCGGTTATGACTTATGACGTTTTTTTTACCATTGGGGATCTTTTAAGCATGCCACATCATCAAGTTTGCACTCAATTATTCTCATTCTCAGTAAAATCTCAATCAATGTCATCAATCACCATCTCATTGTTTTAACATCTATACTGCCGTGTGTTGTTATGGCTTTTTTAGTACACATGTTTTTATATCGAATATATACTGAAAACTTTCATTATGGGTCATGTTAACAGGTTTGTAAAGATGATAATCATCAAAACGTGGACTATCTATCAGATTACTGAATTGATAAACTGATTGACCTGACCTCGTTGAAAGTACAGATTGCATGCACAGAAAGTTCTAGGTTTCCTAGTGCTAGTAATTATTCTGCATGAATAATGTGAAAATTTGTATGAAATATCTAAATCCAGCCAGCATGTGTGAAGTATTGTATTTTACCTATTGTATTAAATTGTCATGTTTTTAATTCTATGGTTAATCTAGCCAAAGCCAAAGTTATAGGTAGACTATGGCTACGAAATGTTGAATTTTTCACCTTTGTCTGTCTTAGTCCTATTGATAGACTCCTGAAAATATGTAAAATTTACACAGTTATGCTATACCATAACTGTGGTATTATACATATATACATATAGCCAACATACGAAAATAAGCAATAGAGTAAAAAGCACTTTATAAAATAAACTATAAACCACTATATTATTAGGTGTGTAACTAATAAATTCACCATAATTACTACTTTTGTATGCACATATTTATCAGATTCTACAATTTTGTAGAATGATTTAAAATTATTAAGCGGATTAAAACGATTTTATTAAACAATCAATCCCTACATGAGTTTAGCCGATTTTCTTTGTCAAAATTAATCAATTCAACTTTAAATCCTTATAGGTATCATGCGTAGCGTTAATGTGCTGATATAGAATTACATGAGCGTACGCGGTAGAAGGTTACGCGTTACCCCTTCTTAACACGCTCTTGATCATTATAATCAATTTGCGTTTGATGCATGAATTCCAACTTGCTAGTTTATCTAATTTCGTTTATTGAGAACACATTACTGTACCATCTAGCTTCATATACTATTCGCATGAAAAAACATGTGCATATCGCACCTCATTTTATACTCATCATCATACTATACATTTCATATATATATATCTCAAGTATACATTTAATTTTAAGTATATTAAATAGCTAACAATGTCCACAGGACAAATAACAACTGAATACGCGATTATTCACTGATATAAAAGATTCTTTTAATGATGTTCCTATTGCATATGCAAGCTCTCTCTCTCTCTCTCTCTCTCTCTCTCTCTCTCTCTCTCTCTCTCTCTCTCTCTCTCTCTCTCTCTTGCTCTCTCTCTCTCTCTCTCTCTCTCTCTCTCTCTCTCGCTCTCATCTCTCTCATCTTCTCTCTCTCGCTCTCTCCCTCTCTCTCTTTCTCTCTCTCTATCTCCCGTTCGCTCGCTCTCTCTTTCTCCTCTCTCTCTCTCTCTCTACTCTCTCTCTCTCTTTCGTTCTCTCCCTTAATTCTCTCGCTCTCTCTCTCATCTCTCTTCTCTCTCTCTCTTTCTCTCTCTCCCCTTCTCTCTCTCTCTCTCTCTCTCTCTCTCTCTCTCAGCTCTCTCTTCTCTCTCTTCTTCTCTCTCTCTTCTACTTTTTTCTCTCTTTCTCGCTCTCCCTTCTCTCGCTTCTCTCTCTCTTCTCTCCTCTCTCTCTTCTCTGCCTCTTACTCTTTCTCTCCTCTCTTCTTCCTCTCTTCCTCTCTCTCTCTCTCTCTCTCCCTTCTCTCTCTCTCTCTCTCTGGCTCTCTCTCTTCTACTCTCTCTCTCTCTTCGTTCTCTCTCTTTCGCTGCTCTCTCTCTCTAGCTGTCTCTCTCTCTCCCTTTCTCTCGTGTTCTCTCTCGACACACACACAATTTCTCGTTCTCTTGCTCTCTTCTCTGCTCTCTCTCTCTCTCTCTCGCTCTCTCTCTCGTCTCTCTCTCCTCTCTCTCTCTTTCTTTCTCTCTCTCTCTCTTCTCTCTTTCTCTCTCTCTCTCTCTTCTCTCTCTCTCTCTCTTTCTTCTCGCGCTCTTCTCTGTTCTCCCTCTCTCTCATCTCTCTCTCTCTCCTCTCTCTCTCTTTCTCTCTCTCTCTTTGTTTCTTTTCCTGCCGCTCGCTATCTTTCTTGGCCTCTCAACCTCACTCTTTTACTCTACCCCCCCCCCTCACACACCTCTAAATCTCCATATCTCTCGCTCTCGCGCGCTCGCCCAAACGACAACTCTGTTTATCACCTAGCTTCTACACGATCGGATAGAATTAACATTGTAGGTCTTCTGCCATACCAGATGCTCTCATGAAGCCATTCTCGTCGTTCTGGATGTGTGTGACTGAGTATTACTTATCAATTTATTAAGTTAAATATGATTCTGTGATTATACCAACATTCTTCAGGAATCCAGTATGGTTACATCATTACTCTGTAGGATCACCTAACGTAGTTTAACTAGACATCGTATAATCGCGTGCGGCTATAATTTCGGCGGCACTACGCGCAATCTCGCACGTATTCAGACTTGAACAACTGTGATACGAATCGCCGCCATAAGTGGTAGTGATACTCCTGCTCTTATTCGGCATCGTCGTAGAAGTCTGGCACGCATTTGTCGTGTCTGTACTTCCAGCGGCGGCAGCAGTACCTGTTTCTCCCGATACCGCATGGCCGCACCTCCCTGTCCAAGCAGTGACGTTGCTCCCGATAGGTGCGACTGCTCGACAACGAATAAGAACAATCAGTGCTCGCCACACACGCGACCTAGTGAGCACGGTCTGTTTCAGCCGCAGAATTTCACTTCCTGTGATTCGCTTGAAAAGACGTGGCGTGGCAATAAAATGGTAACGATGGCGATGATGACGATGATCATGATGATGATGACGATGATCATGATGATGATGACGATGATCATGATGATGATGACGATGATGATGATGATTATGATGATGATGATGATGATGATGACGATAGAAATATCGAAGCTAATGTACGTGCGTGGCGGAGCGGGACGGTGATGGTAAGAGTTATGGCCTGAGAGACACAGTTTTGACGATGGTGATTCCAACCAGCAGATCGAGTGGCATGGGTCTCAGGTTGGGCGCTTTCCAAAGCTCGAGATGGGAGTGCAGCTAGTCCGCCGTGGTCGCCATCCCTTGCAACAGTAGCTATTTTTGCCCGACCCGCAGGTACGCACTGTCTGGTTGCAGTCACGCGTCTCTGACTGCTGCCCCATGCTTTTTACGATGCAATGAATGGACGAAACATGAAAAAAAAAACGAAATGAATGATGATTGATGGAAAATAAAATGTAAATGGCCAACATGAAATGACTAAATCCATAGAGAGATACTATAAACTATGCTATATGACGATAACATTTCTTTTTCAGCTCTGGGCAAACACGTAATTATTCGTTCGTACTAAGAGTAGTCGGCTGTGAATTTCAAGTTCATTAAATGCAAGTTCCTGAATATAGTAACATAATAGGACGTGAATATTTCCACCACACGCACATTGCTTGTTGTATACGCAGCTGCTTGTCGCAGTGTCTCTGCTTGAATCATAGATATGGTAATAATAATAATAATAATAATAATAATAATAATAATAGACAAGACGCTATAGCGCGAATTAAAACTTGATCTGAACTCGCGTGTACTTACCTGCAGTTGTCCGATATGCATTCCCTCCTTCTAGTCTGCGTGCTGCAGCCACATGTCCGGCTGCATGCCGACCATGGCGACCAGTTAGCCCACCTGTCCTGTGTATCAGTGTCCGCGTCGTCGTCGTCGTCGTCGTCAGTCGCGCTCTGGTCTCGCGAGTTCGCGTGTGTTCTGCGAGCAGCGTTCACAGTGTCGGCATCGTCGCGTCGACGTTGCACCTGTCGTCGGCTCGCCGCTTTCCTCCTGGTGGCCGTGCTGGCCGACGATTTGCCTCGTTGGCGTTGGCGGACGTTTCTCCGCGTGTTGGTGCGTGAGTGCGGGCGATCGACCGCCGCCGTCTCGCCTTCTCCTGTTTTCTGTCGCGAGGATGCTCTCTGCGCAGCCCCTGACGTTGAACGTGAACGCGTGCTGCTTTGAGCTGCTACCGGCCTCGGCGTAGTCGTAGTCGTCGTCGTTGTTGTTGTTGTTGTGGGCGGTGGCGGTTTTTCGGTTGTCGTTGTTGTGGTAGGGGGAGGAGCAGTAGGAGGAGGAGAGGTTGTTGTTGTTGTAGTTGTTGTCGTTGATCTTGATCGACGAGGTGGCGGCGGCGGTGTTGTTGTTGTTGTTGGTTGAGGTCGGCGTGTTGACGATGATGGCGATGACGTCCGACCTGCTCTCGTCGTTGCTTCTGTCGTGCTGCTGCCAGCACGTACCATACCTCTCATGGGCGGCCGCCGCGTGGTTGTAGCAGGCTGTTCGCTACCTGTCGTCGGTATAGCGAATCTGCCAACAGTTGCACGTATCAGCAGATCGGAGTCTGTTGTCGGCGCCGGCGAGGTCGTTGCTATCAGCGCCGAAGCTTTTGGAATCGCTGGCGGAGCGGCAGCCGTGTTGTCGTCCTCATCGCACGTGACTGATGAAAGCAAGGGATATCCAGCATGACATAGCGGACATGTAGACACGAATGATGGATAAAGATTCATGGCATGGCATTGTGAACTCTATCTCGGATGCGTCCGCTGAGTAGTAGTAGTAGTAGTAGTAGCAGTAGCAGTAGCAGTAGCAGTAGCAGTGGCAGTGGCAGTGGCAGTGGCAGTGGCAGTGGCAGTTGGCAGTGGCAGTAGTAGTATAGTATAGTAGTGTTAGTAGTAGGTAGTAGTAGTAGTAGTAGTAGTAGTAGTAGTAGTAGTAGTAGTAGTAGTAGTAGTAGATGAAAGCAAGAACACGTAATAATGTTCACCACGTGAAACGCTATACCTGTTTACGGCGTAGACATTTTACGGATCGTCTCTTCTTATTTGTGCGTGACATATTAAGCCACAATTAACGGCAACGGCTAACGATCATGAGCAATTAATTTAGTAAACCTGCGTGGACGCATTGATCTTTCCAGAGGTCAAATTTTGTTGCGAAAACTTTTTAATACGAGGTTCGTACTTATGAATCTGGCCTGAAAGAATATGCCGTAGGGTGTCTTGCTCCTCATCATTAGCAGAACCTCGGTTGTCTCGGCAATGACGCCTTCCTCTAGCAGTCTCTTCCGCAAAAGCTGAAAGATACGCATCAATGTTACTCCCACCGAGTCTCAGTTTGTCTTTGGTAAACTGCAGGTAAATTACTACTCGAAAAGCCTCTCACTAAAGTACTATAGTAAAAAGTACTAAAAGTAGTAAAAAGTACTAAAAGTAGTAAAAAGTACTATAGTCTGATTCTCCCCCCCCCCTCGCCCGCAGGGACCCTTCCCTGCAAAAAACAACAACTCGCAGATGTTTGACAAATAAGGGGTGGAGTATTAACCTCCGAGTGTGAATAATGGCCAAATTAGAAGCTGTCGGTTGATTTTAACGCGCACTGATTCACAGAGTAATATATAATAGTCTAGCTGATATCGCGAATATATTCTCCTACTATGTAATGTATCCCACATTGAGAGATGCTTCGTGGCCTAGCTGGTTAGGCCACGTATACTGTTCCCACTGCAGGTCTGTCCATGAGCTTCAATCCGGGCCGGGGCCAGTAATTTTCTCAAAGCGTGTAAAAACCTGCCTCGTCAACTTGAGCTGTGATCGTGCCGTGGCTCGGATGACCACGTTAAAATGGCGGTCCGATCTCCAGTAATACTAAGCCAACCAATGGGGACGCTAAAAGAACACTGAGAGTGCGCAAAAAAACTATGCTGTGATCACCCCATGATCACCCATCAGTGCATTCAGTGCATTCGGCTATAGCTTGTTTTATAATAGCGCTGTTGGCAGACAGAGAGGAAGTGGCGACCACCTGGGTCTGGTATGGGTACAGAAAAGGACATAATGCAAACTTCGGAGGAGACCTCGAAATAATACTTAGTTATTATAATTATTATTATGTATTCATGTAATGTATCCCACAGGCACTTGGAGCGCTTCAATAAAAAGAATTTATAAATAATAACGAAATCTATTATATTACCGAAGTCTTAATGTTTTTCTCTTATTGCCGACAAGCCGTGCTGGCAAATGCCTCTAGCACTGCACAACAACAACCCACGCACGCACCTGCGACACGCTGCGCACGCTGACTGCCCGGGGAATACTGCACAACTTACACATAAAATATAGAGTTATTTATTTATGTGTAGTGTGCAGTAGCGTGCAGCAGCGTGCAGCAGCGTGCAGAGCCGTGCAGCAGGCTGTGCGTGCGGTTGGTGCTGTGGTTGCAGTGGCTAGAGCATTGCAGCACGCTAGTCTGGCATAGAGAAACATTAAACTTTAGGTATAAATAGATTTCGATTTACTTATCATTATTTTTATTGAAACGCTCCATGGCGTATGTTACGATTCTCACCGCGGGCGGCATTGTGCGCGAGTTCTCCTGATATCGCCAAGTTCCACGTCAGTCAGACAGGGGAGGTTGGCATGGCCATTACCACGCCGTACTGATCTCCTCAATAGTGCCGTTAAACGGCACAGCAGGTGCTGAAAAACCAAATCAAACATATCCTCACCTATGCAAGGATGAAAGAGACAATTATCCAAGGTCTGCGAGAATTCGTGTCTACGCGAATTGAATGAGATCACGCTTTTGCCGAGAACCAAATCGCTCTGTCTGTTAGAAAAGTTTATCGGCTGTTAATTGTGGTTGCAACATCATTAATTAATAACCTACTGGTACCAAATGTAAAGTATGATTGACTGTACCTAACATAAAACGAAATTATTACATTAACTAATATCAGGAGTGTATAATATAAAGATTAATTAGGACTATATATATAGATAGTATATATAAGTGTGTTTAAAAAGCTTGCTAATATCTATTTTTGTGGTAAAATTATAATTACTGTACTAGTATGAAAAGCTGAGGTGAAAGCTTTCTTATTTTAATTATCCATTACACCTATTTCGGTGGATTAAAATTCCAATCACGAGCGAGGGAATTCAAAATGAGTGGGTGTTGTCGCAAATAATAGCAAGGACACTGCTATTAGTATAGCTTTACGAGTAGCAGAAAATAGTCAAATATTTGTCGGAAGATATATAGACAAATTGATATATATTCTCGATATAAATATATATAATATATTTGATATATATATATAAATATATATATATATAGATATATATAATATATATATATATATATATATATATATATTTGATATATATAATCAAGAGCATATAAGAAAGGACCTTAAGGAAAGACCTTCTTTATTATGCTCTTGATATAATATATATAATATATATTATATATATCTTATATAATATACCATATATATTCATACTATAATATATATATAACTTATATCGTTTCTCTATTATAGCCTCGGTCACACGAGGACCTTTGTATTTATTGCAATACGGTATTGCGAAAATACCGAATCTGAGACAACCTACGCGGCGGAGCGTTCACACGTGATTTCGCGGCTCCGAACTACTGGGTCATTGCGAGGTGCGAGCTGCCTTAAACAATCAAGCACAAATGCGAAATAAACAATGCAAATGCGCACGCAACTGCCGATAAAATACGTAGACTGTCCGAAGCTCGACGTTCCACTCGCCGTTACACTTAGAACTGATCGAGTGCGGATCCAGTCTATAAATACGCCGGTTTCATGAAATTTTCCAGGTATTTAGCGTTCACACGAGGGAATTAGCGTGCGCGTCCATTAGATCCGGTATTTCTCAAGCACGGCAATTTACGCGGTCTGGGAAGCCGCGTAATTTAATCAAATAACCGGATCTGTTTATAGATAACCGTAATTTCTTGGACGCGCATTTTGCTCGTGTGAACGCTAAATAACCGGATTTCTTGCTAGTCAAGTGAACGCGGCTTCATATCTTACCGGACAAATTGCGTGCGTGCGTGCGTACGTGCTGTGTGGCGTGCGTGGGTGGTGTATTATTGACATAATATAAGACTCGCGTACTTAATGAGCCAGCTCATGCTGAGCGGAAGCGACCTGCTGGATATCGACAGTGACCTGTCACCCCTCATCTCCACTGCATGTGATGACGATCATCCGCCGCAAAGTCTGCTACCGACAGAGATCGTAGTCAGTGCGCTTATCGTCACTATAATCATTATATAGTCATTAGTCTATCAGCTGCGGGTGCGTGCGGCCTGACTGTATTTTACTGTGAGCGGCGTGCGCGAATTAGCTGCAACAGTGGGGTATTACCATAGATACACAACTATACGTTTGTGTTGTGTGTGTGTGTGTGTGCTGGCGATTGCGTGGTGGTGTGTGTGTGGTGCGTGCTGCCGTATGTGCTGTTGGCGTCGCGTCGCGTGCGTGCGTGCGTGCGCCGTCGCTGTGTGTTGTGTTGTGTGGTGGCTGTGTGTTGTGTGTGTGGTTCGTGTGTGGTGGTGTGTGTGCATGTGCTGACCTGGTGTGTCGTGTGTTTGTGGCGTGATGTGTGTGTTGTGTGTCTGGTGTGTGTGTGTGTCGTGTGCGCGACGCGCTGTGTGTGTGCGTGTGCGTGTCTACGTGTTGCGTGTTTGCATGATGCACCACATGTGGACAATTGCCAAATGCCGTTTGTAAATTGCTCTCAACTTTGTTATTCATTAATTATTATATTTCTAACCGAATAATTTATTTGTTTGTTTGTTTATTTATTTATTTATGTATACCTCCGCCGACGCTGAACGCGGCTGTATTGCAATAAGTCCCTCCAAATCCTTCTGGACATTTGCAGCTGTAGCAGTCGTTAGGATCCTGATAGCTATCATGCTCGCATGGCCTTCGGAGCTTCGTGTTGCGACAGGAGTCTGAAAGCACACAAAACAACTCTAGTTATGCAATCGACATTTTTCCCTCGCCACATCTGCAATTATTTATTATATTTGTGACGAGTTATATTTGAGCGGAAACTGATAGGTGCGTGACGTCAATCGACTTTCCATCTACGACATCGTTTTACGTAGACTCCCTAATCCCGATAAAAGAGCTCTTTTGGTTTGTTAGTTTTGCGTTGTCACAAATCAGCGCATAAACGCGCAGGCATTTTTTCTGCGCATTGCTGTGTGTTCATTGCAGCGGGCTGATTCCCACGTAGTTGCGTACCAATTAAATTTTATGTGGTCAATTTGTTAGACGTATTTCCGTGGCTTGCCTCCAGGCGCCCGATAGCACGTGCACGTGTGTGTGTGTGTGTGTGTGTGATGGTGTGGTTGTGTGTGTGTGGTGTGTGCAGTGCGTGAGTGCGTCGCTGACGTGCGTGCTGCGTGTGCGTGCGTGCGTGACGAGCGTGCGTGTGTGTGTGGTGTGTGTGTTGGTATGTGTGTCGTGTAAGTGTAATGTGTATGTGCGCGCGCTGGGCGTTGCGTGCGTGCGTGGCGTGGTGTGTATTGGCCTGTACTGCCCACTTATGCGGCATATTATCTATACTAGCGGAAGTTATACCGTAGACCAGCAAAAATGTTGTCTATTAAATATAAACTCCATGTCAAGTGAACACACTAAAGATTAAAATATTTCATGCTACTGAAAGGAAAACACTGCACTGGGTACACAGAACATCATGGCACAAGCTTAAATGGCCACTGACTACTGTGTCAGTACGGTGATACGTCAAAGCAGAGTGAGCAGGGTCGAATCTGCGGTAGGGGGGGGGGGATTTGAGAAGTAGGCACATCTATTGAGGAATAGATTATTGTTTGAGCAGACATCTCCAGACGTAGCTGATTTGATATGCTCATACGGCGGCAGTCAAGAGGACGCGAGTGTAATTCGCAGTAATGTTTGATGTGATCTGCTGTACGCACTGCCAATCTATTGACGAATAGATTTTTTCGAATTTTGACTTATTTACGTAATACTTGAACTCTTTTTAATTTTTTTTCGCTCAGCCAGAACCATCTCCAGCTCGGTGGATTCTGAAGTATATCGTTCAGTTAGCCGATTGATGAACAAATCGGGCGAAAAGCGAGGAAACAACACACGCCACCACACACCACACCCCGCACACACACACACCACACCACAGCACCACCACACACACAGTTACCAAATTATGCACGAAAGATGTCGTTTGTCGTAACAAGGTACATACAGATATGTACGAGGTAGTTTTAGGTTTAGTTTAGCTATTAATGTTTTTTTTATATGAGCGTATGTTTAGTTAGGGTTAAGGGTTATATTGAGTTAGGGTTCAGGGTTTAGGATTAGTGGTTAGTGTTAGCGGTTTAAGGTACACTTCGGTAGACAAGTCTGCTACACTGTGTGTGTACATATATGTACCTCGGGTACATATCTGATGTAGTACCATGTACGACACGACCCCCTATGAGCCCAAATTTATGTGATAGATTATCTAGCGCTTATAGCTAGCTGATATATAATATACTATCTTATATCTAGCGCTTTTAGGCAAAGAACGGGCACGTGTTAGAATAGAATACACGCGTGCGCGCGCACGTGTGTGAATGCAGTCCAAACCTTTGCAGTATTCGATATTTGCCGTTTTTGCGTCGTAGAATGACAACTTTTCGGCTCCTCCCATCACTTGTTGTAGAAACCCGTCGCGCGATTTCAGAGTCAACATATCCGGGTAGGTTTTGCTGAAATCCTGAAACGAAAATTCCAAATAACGATTCCACGAACACAAGAGCTAAATGTAGCACGCGACAGTACCCCTCAGCAAACCGTTGTTTACCGTTGCACTACCTGGTCTGTTTTCCAGACCGTTTTCTCTCGTGTTTGATGTAATATAGTAGACTATAGTAGACTCTGTAATATATAGAGCGTACTAATCTGAATTATGCTATATGCTTATGCTCCTTGTGGAAAATTTTGCTTTCTATGGTGACCGGGCTAGTGCGTTTGTGTGTGAAACTGAATCTGACAAACTTGCTGGAAAGATGCATCAAAACCTTATATCTGTGGTCATTTAGCATGAATTAAGTGAGTGTTTTGTGTCACTGAAACTTTCTTGAACGTTTTTAATTATTTTTTCATGTTATGGTCATGCCTATTGAGACCTGCTGACTACGTACGCCATCTGTTGGTGAATACCAACTAAACACGAATGAACACTAAAGGCATTTCTGTGACACATCATTAGACTGATTGCGAAAGTTCCCGTGGCTATGTCCACAAAGTTGAATGATTCGTCGTGGTGATCATTGACGACTTACTGAGTCAGGTTAACATGATCTACACGATCTACGCCAGTGGCTCTGTACCCTTTCTGAGTCATAGACCCCTTTGAGGATCTGGTGAAAGCTACGGACTCTTCCCCCCAAAAATGCACATAAGCACATAAACACAGAGTTTTGCATGCGCCTGTTTCACGGACCCCCTAAAGCCCATCCACAGACCCCAAAGGGATCCATGGACCACAGGTTAAGAACCCCTAATCTACACGATGTACGCGATCACATGTCTAATGCCACGATATACCCGATAATTTAACGATTACACCGGTAGATGGCGCCTCACCGTTCCTAGGTAGTGCATGAGGCTGGACATATCATAGGGGACGTCGTTGGTGATCGTCTGATGAGTGAGAAAGTTATACGTCTTGCCAGGCTGGATGTTCTCCCACAGCACATCCAAGTAATCATCGCGGTCTTGGCGAGCCTGCTCATGCCAGAACCCCAGCGAGTGTCCGATCTCATGAGCCACGATCTGCTTCTATAGAATCCCAAATAGAGACACAATAATATACTGATATAACAAATAATAATATAGAATAACAATAATATACTAATATAACAAATAACAATATAGAATAACAAATAGAATAACAATAATATAACAACATAACAAATAATAATATAGAATAATAAATAGAGACACATCTGTGTCGACGATCACCTCCGTAGAGCGACCATTTGCTCGTAAAAGTCACGTTTGACGTTTTCATTGAGTGGTCGTTAAATAAAGGGTTAACGACGATTGGGCGGGTGAATAAACTGAAAGCAACGTGAAAGCCATTTAGAGGGTACAAATAGTAGGTGTGATAAATAACTTCTCTACTTCCGACTCCAACCGAACTCCATCCACTGTGCGCAGCGGATAAACATTTAACATAACGCGCATGCATGTAGCTTGCGGCTATGAAGCTGTATCCTGTCTATAGGTATATCTGTTGTACTTGAACGCATACTTCTGACGCGCACAACTCGAGAATTTTTACAGGTTAATATGAAGCGCGCACCTTTATAGTAGAACCAAGTCGTGTGGAAATTATATTAATTAAATATGGCGTGATCGCTTACGGATATGCAGATGACGTTTAAGGAGATTTGTGTCTGTCCATTCCTACCGACCTCTGAGCTGCAGCTAAAAACAAAGCAAGTTGTTAACACACGATCACGAGCACATGAACTATGTGTATATAGCTATATGTGTATACTATATGTAGAAAGTTATATACTCTTCTATGAGTTTACTCTGAGATTCATCACTCTGTATATATTCTGTGACGTGAAACTTGATAACACATTGTCCTATAAGCGGCTATAACGAATCCGACTTTCTCATCTATACAAATACAACTCTTCCGTGTAGGTAACGTAACACAGATAGGTTTGTACACAGCGTCACGTGGACTATAAAATCGCCTCAGGCGTTTTGTCAAGCTATCACTTGAAACCCGATTTTCAGGTCAATATTAATTGTTTAAGATATCATGCACAAACCGGGCATAGATTTCAGTATACTATATACGAGTATTGCGATATGCCAAGTAGTGCTAGTGTAGGACCTTAAATTCGAAAATGCGGAATAACAAAATGACACCATACAAAAGCTAGCAGCTACGCATAACGTATAGTCTTATAACTTATAACCTCAGCAAGCTACCTTTGCCTATAGTGTATAAACATTCCCTCAGACCAGTGCCTCTTAAACTGGTGAATCGTTCAGCCAAAAGTGATGAAAATTACCAAAAACACAAGGGTATTTAGTCGCGGGTGAATGAAATATTGTGATACAACCCGAGGGTGAATGACACTGAAATAGTTTAAAAAGCTCTGCCTCGGGCATACCCTTTTCCCTTGTAGAAGAGAATGTAATCGGTGTAGTAGACCACAGGTCCCATGTCTTTGAAGCGGATACACGTCTCTTGCTCCCAGTGGTTGATAGCCCATCTGATGATTCCCTTCTCATTCTCATCTGAGTAAAATCGTTATAAATAATAATCATAAAAATATAATAAATGAATAAATAAATATTATAATCATAAGAAATTAAGATATAAAGATATGATCTTAGATTGTGTGCGTTATCTTATTTGCATAATGAAAATCACAGATTTTTATGTAGTGAGAACGAGGGATTTGCTGGTGATTGTCTTACTGAAATCTTCCGGGTTGAATAGGTAGGGTATCGGTGTGCTGATATTCCACCTAAGCTCTTCGTTGTCGATCAGTTTCCGCTTCTGTCTAGTGTTGAATGCTTGTAACATCCACTTCGCCTGTCTCTCGTTGATCACCAGATCGCCTTCTAACACGCCGTCAAATTCTACCTGAAATTCATATCACCATGTGGCGTCGAGTAACACAGCGTTTTAAAGTAGTCAGTTAGTAGACAATAGTTTAACTGATGTCAGTGAATTTTCTCAAGGTGTAAAAACCTGGCTCTCAACATTGGAGACTGTGAATCTCCCGTGGCTCGGATGACCACGTAAAATGGCGGTCCCGTCTCCAGTAATACGAAAGGCCGATGTGGGCGTAAAAGAACCACTGAGGGCGCAAAAACAAACTCTGGCTGTGACCACCCTCAGTGACATTCAGTGCCATTCGCTATAGCTATATAGCGCTGTTGGCGGACAGAGAAGAGTGGCGAAAGGCTACAGAAAGGAATAATAACAACTTCCCGAGGAGACTCGAAATAATAATTATTTTTATAATTATTATTATCATGTAATGTATCCCACAGGCACTTGGAGCGCTTCAATAAAATAGAATGATAAATAAATACGACATCTATTTATTACCAAAGTCTTAATGTTTCTCTTATTGCCGACAAGCCGTTCTGCAAATGCTCTAGCCACTGCAACACACACCCACCGCACGCACACTGCTGCACGCTGCTGCACGCTACTGCACACTTACACATAAATTTATGTGTAAGTGTGCAGTTGCGTGCAGCAGCGTGCGGGCGGTGGGCATGTGTTGCAATGGCTGGAGCATTTGCAGCACGGCTTGTCGGCAATAATAGGTGAAGGAGAGTAGAGAAAAATTAAGACTTTGGTAGTAAATATAGATTTCGTATTTATTTATAATAATATTTTATTGAAACGCTCCAAGTGCCTGTGATGTTACGATTCTCACCGCGGGCCGGCTTGTGCGAGATTCTGCTGATATCTCAGTTCCACGTAGTCAGGACAAGGAAGGTTGGCATGGCCATACCACGCCGTACTGATCTCATCAATGCTGGCGTTAATACGCGCACCAGCAGGTGCCTGAAAAACCAATCAACATATCCTCACCTATGCAAGGATTGAATAGAAATTATTCAAGGTCTGCGAGAATCGTGTCTACGCGAATGTTGAATTGAGATCACGCTTTGCGAGAACCAAATCGCTCTGTCTGTTAGAAAAGTTCATTCTGCTGTTAAGTTGTGGTTTGCAATCTAATTATAACCTACTGTACCAAATGTAAAGATATGATTGAACTGTGCCTAACATAAAACGAATTATTACATAACTAATATCAGGA